ATAATTGGAAATTTATATTGTTTTTTGTATTTTCTAGGAAATTTTATGCAGCCTATGGATCTGGTCAAAAAGCTTTTGATCTCTTCAATCCAAACTTCAAGTCTACCTGTCAACAGTAAGCCATTTTATAAGTCCTGGGTCACATTTTTTTTTTTTTTAAGGATTTAGTTATCAGTTTGAGGAGTATGGTTGAATTCCACCTGAGGAAAAAGATGTTCCTATAGCAAGATTTGTTAAGGGGATGCTTGAATCTCTGTGACAGCAGACCTCAGATGTGACCGCTTGGAATTCCAGGTTTGTGGAGAAGTACCTTGAGCTACAGAATCTTGGAGAAACAGATGAAGAGAAGCTGTTTGTAGAAACAGGGAAAGCTTTATTGGCAGAAGGTGTCATTTTAAGACGAGTGAGGGAAGCAAGGATGGTGAGTATTTTATTACTAAAATTATTAGGATTTATCTGTTTATTAGAGGTGAAAGGAGAGCTTGTTTTTTTTCCCTAACCTTGGCTCATGTTCCTAAACTCGAGGTCAAATACAGTTAGACTGAATATACTGGAGTTTTGTGCTAATGACTGCTGCTTGGAGCGAGTGAATTGTTATTAGGGCTTTTGGAATTGTGGTTGTGTAGAGATTTTTGTCATGTTTATTGTTATAGTAGAATTTGACCTGAGATAGTAATGTTAAATTTTTGATTCAGTGACAGAATGTGCCTACGCATATGCTCAGCCTGTTAATTGAGTGAAAATGATGACATCTGTGTGATGTACATGTCTGGTCTTTTAAGCAGCAGGAAGGTGATCACATTTCCTGGAAATCTGAACTCAGGGCTATGAAACCACAAACTGTGTTTGGAAAAAACCAGCCTCTGAAAGAAGTTCCACAGAATCAGCGTTTGGAGGCACCTGAAGAACAGTCGAAAGGTCTTTCTCCTACCTGAAGAACTTGTATACTGACATCTGACTGTATTCACTAGATGAACGTTGAGCTATTTTTAACAGTTGAACTGTGTAAATGTTTCTAGATCTCTAAGGCATTATATTTGCTGCCTTTTAGATCCTACTTCTAGGTTGTGATAAAGCTTAGTATTGTGATTTGAAAGAAGCAGTTATGTGAACTTTGTGTTAGAAAGGTATTAAGTAAAGAATTCCCTAGTTGCTTAGAAAGCAAATTTACTTTAAAATTGTAAATAGCATGAGGAAACCTTTGTAAGTGTTGTTTGAAGGGACTCATTCTGAGTAGCTTTGCTTAGATTTTTGTGTTAACATGTGGACTGGCTACATTTGATTCTCTGGTATGTTTCTCTTTTCTGGATTCATGAGATTTAACTTGCACATACAGTTGGTCCCTTAGCCAATGTTTCTGCAGATAATCTTTGTATATTTTGCTATTGAACTCTTGAGCTTTAACTTGAGAGGCCAAGCTGACTTGGGCTTTATGGTAAGAATGAGAACCTATCATTGATGGTAAGACAAAGGCCAAAACTACAACTTTAATTTGATGGGTTGAATGTGCTGGAGACAATTAGCTTAGGCCTGAACATAGTAGGCTGCTCAGTAAAGATTTACTTACTTACTGAATGAATGAATGAATGATTACATCCAGTTAAAGACTGGGTTCAGATGACATCTCTGTAGGTAACTGGATTGCCATGAGCGGGGGCCAGCTAATGTGGATGGCTCTCCACCAGCATCTACCTGCCTCCCTGGTTTCAAGG